GCCGCCATGGGTGTCTTGTCCACCAATGCTCCACCCGCCGAGGCATCGAGCATTTGTCGTTCAATTGGTAGGAGCCCCTCGTAGAAGTATTGTAGAAGCAACTCTTCCTTCATCTGATGCTGTGGACAAAAAGCAACAAGAGATTTAAAACGTTCATAATACGTAGGAAAAGACTCACCTTCATCTTGTTGAATTCCACTTATCCTTTTACGTAAAAGGATGATTCGAGAAGTTGGGAAAAACTTCTCCAGAAATGCCCTCTTCATGCTCTCCCATGATGTGACGGTTCCGGGAGTTAAGTCGTATAACCAATCCTTGGCTTTGTCCATTAAGGAGAATGGAAAAGCCTTCATCTTCAAAATACTTCCGTCGACGTTGACGGGAGTCATGCTTGAACACACCACCTCGAATTCCTTCAGATGCTTGTTCGGATCCTCCATGGACAATCCATGGTACTTCGGAATGTGGTGGAGCAAGCTTGACTTCAACTCAAACTCCTCGGTCTTGCCTTCGGCCGGTGGGGGATATTGGATACACAAGGGTGCGGCATTATCCAATCTCGAAGCGGAAAGCTCCTTGAGTGTCCGGGTGTCTACGGCCATGCCTTGTGGTTCTTCAAAGATCCTTGCCGTGGGTTCCTCCTTGGCCTCTTCTAGGACTTGTTCTTCAAGCTCAGGTTCCGGGCTTGGTGGATTTGACTCGTGGTGCTTCTTCCTTCGTCTCAAAGTCCTCTCAAAATCACTGTCAAAGTCCAAGATATCCTCACGAATCGGTTGAGAACTCCGAGTCATACACTAGTACCTAAAACAAGAAAAACAAAACAAGGTCAGAAACTTTAACAAAATAAACAAATAAACAGAAAGTAAACAATCCAAGGGATTAGCAAAGTTGCTAATCCCCGGCAACGGCGCCAAAAATTTGATGCGAACTAAATAAGCACACAAATTAAAACCCTCTTGTGACAATTGTAGTATATGTATAAGTAGGGATCGTTCTTAACCGGGGATTAGGAGGGATTGCAAAATCACTTGGAAACTGACTCAAAAACGTAAAATAAAATTTAAAACACTAAACTAGACTCAAAGAATGCAAAACTAAACACTTAAAAACACTAAAACAAATCAAAAGACTCAAAACAGCACCAACACACTCAAAACTGCCTTAAAAACACTTTCTGGGCAGTTTTGAGCACTTTGGTGAATTTGGACGAATTTGGGTAATAACTTGAATCAAAACACTTAGAAACACAAACTAAGACACTTTCTAAATAAATTGGACACTAAAGTAAAGGGGGATTGAGGTTTTGACGAAAATAAACTAAATGCACAAATTGTAATTAAGGGTAGAATGTAAATATGAATGTGATGAAAATATGGATGAAATGCTAACTAGAAGGTTCTTCTCCACACATGTTACACTTGCATACAAGATGATTTTCAGTTGGTCTTTCAATAAATTATGAAACTCAACACCCCGGGTTAATTAGGTCCGCTTAAATTAACCGTCAAGTTCTCCTTAAGTTAATGAATTGGATGGGTTAGCGCATCGCAATTCAAAACATTCTCCAAAAGTCCTTTACGTGAAAAGCACAATAAAGATACAATCAAAGATCATTAAGCATCATGAAAACTATAAGTGTTGACGAGGCATTTGTTACTATGATGAGCATGAAACTAGTGCCAAGAAGTCATTTAACGCGATTGTTTATAAGCAACCTCCACTACTTGTGAATATAAGTTCATAACTATTAGGTGAAACTCACTTATATTCTAGCGTCATATTCATGCATGAAAATTAAGCGTGCACTCTCAATAAACATACATAAATAAGTTATCAATCAAACAGTTAAACAAATTGAATCCACAACTCATGAAATTCCAACCAAAGGTAATCAATTCATATTGCAAGCATAAACATGGTTTCGAATCACCCCCTAGCTAACTAGGGATTTAGCCTCTCATGTTCACAGAAAGAGAAATAAAATTGAATTTAAACATAACGAACAAAGGATTGATTACACCTAGAACGCCCAACGAATCCACTTGAATTTTTGCGCGTCTAGGCTCCTCTTTCTTCTTCTCCTTGCTGTGGCAGAGATGGTGTGTGATGATTGTGGATGTTATTTTGGGTTGGGGATGGATTTAGGGAAGTTAGGTGGTGCGGCAAAGGTTGTGGAAGGTGTGTGGAGGTGTGGAATGGAGGGGAAAATGCTGGAAAGGCTACGGCAAGGTGTGGATGGTGCTGGAATTGATGGTGAATGCACGGCTTAAGGGCTGAATGTGGCTTGGGTGATTAATCCATGGGAGAGACAGCTAGGGGGGAATATATGCATGATGGTGGCTGAATTATATAATGAAAAGTGAATGATTAATGCTCTACTGTTAGGACAAAGGTGCGGCTGAAATGGTTTTGTGAATGAATGGAATGAATGGATGGCTATGGATTAAAGAGGGAATATGGAAGTGTATGTGGCTGAATGATTAAAGAGGGAATGAATGGGAGTGTGCGGCTGCAATATGAAAAGAATGAATACATAATGCATGTAGGGTGAGGCTAAGGTTGTATAATATGTAGGGTTTTAGGAAATAAAATCATAAATTAAAGGGGGAATGATTAAAGGGTGCGGCTAGGTTGGAAAGGTGTGGAAGATGGCTGGAATGGAGGGTGATTGCACGGCAAAGGATGGGAAAAAGGGATGGTGGCTGAATGATGAAGAGTGCATGTGGCTTAATGATGAAGATTGAATAATAAATGCATGTAGGGTGCGGCTATGGTGGGAAAGGTGTGGAAGATGGCTGGAATTAGGTTTTAAGTGCATAGAATGGGCCTAAAATACCCCCCCTTGCACGGCAAGGGAAGGGAAGAAGGAAAAACCCACGGCAAGGTTGTGTAATTGGGCTAGGGCCATTGTTTTGTGTCCTAAAGTGCCTACAAGGCCTTCAAAGTGGCTAGAAAATACGGATGTTTAAGTTTAGGAAAGGTTACCAAAACGAGAAACCTAGGGTTAACTTTCCTACTTCAAGTAGGAATCCTTGTTTGAGTAGGATTCCTCGTTTTGGTAGGAATTCATCGTTGGAGTAGGAATTCGTCGTTTCTTCAAGTCTTCAACTCATTCATTCCTCTTTCGCTCCAAAAGACTCCAATTTGAATCTTTTTGCACACTTTGGCCTTATAATTTGAAAATACACAAAAGTGGCCTTAAACACTAAAATAACTAAGTAAACACAACATAAATGCACGAGAACAAGCTAATTAAGTCGCATGAATATGCTCCTATCATCCTCGAGCAAACCAAAACTAAAATAAACAAAAGCCACACAAAAAACAAACATAAGTTGATCTAAGACCAATTCCGTTGGTTAGACGAATGCATTCAGCTTATGCATCAAGCCTTTAAACCTCTAAGCATCCCTAGTAGGAGGAGTTGTGTCTCCTAAGGGTTTAATAGTGACGGTACCCATAAACGTCTGAAACAACCTACAAAACAACGATTAGAGCACTATTGAAACAAGATAATAAGAATCAAAGCTCAACTATGCCTTACGATCCTAACTTTGACTTTACAATTCCAGCAATTAAATCTGCATGTTAGTGAGGTGCTCTAGCTCAAATTCAACATGTTACTAAGTTATGATCTCAAGCAAGGAAGATAAGATTCGTCTCAACTCTAATCTCATAAATTCACTCTTTCACTTGATTCGTAGGGCTTGCTCTCAACAAGTATATGTGAGTGAGGTTATGTAATGGAAAGCAAAATATTCTCACACATAATTCAATTAGAAACAAAAGAACCTTCTAGACAAGATCTCATGAAAGGAATCAAATACTAAGAATAGGATAACATACATACTTACTAACACCCATGAATACATCCTCAAAGATTAGCTAGGTCTTTCATAAGGTTGTAATGTAAGGTTTTTAGGGTAGGGGCTATGAAATGACAGATAAGGAATACTAGAACTTGAGATGTACCAAAGTTTCTTCCTTGCAAAACTAGCATGCTTTCCTCTTGAATTGATCTTCTTTACTTGTTCTCAGTGTCCAGGACCCATGGATTTAAAAATTGCATCTTCTTCTCTTTTTTTTCTTTTTTTCTTCTTAAAATGTTTTCTTTGTCCTTTTGTTCTTTTGTTTTTATTTATTTATTTTTTTTTTTTTAGCAATTCCTGCCCATGTTACCTCACTACACGCTACTTTCTCAGTTTAAAGCTTGATCATTATATTTGTCCTCATCACTTTGGTATTCCCCAAGCTATAGGGAATGGCTCTTATGGGGGGAAAATCGGTAGAGTTTAGTGTGGGTGATGAAAGATATGGCTGTGTATGGCTTCAAAATGGGTAATGGCTCACACAACAAACGTAGGGAATTAGGCCAATTACTAGTTAAAACATGTATAGCCCAACGTTGCCTCAATGAGTTCATTCATGGGTGATAATAAGCACAAGTATCCACAAAAGAGAATAACTCTTAATATTCAATCAAAAATGAATAATGAGACCATTTGAAATGAATTTGAAAGAAAAGGATACAAGTAGAAATAGTTTAATCCCTCTAAAAGAAGTAAATAGGCACAAAATTGCACAAAAGGCAGTCTCCACTATCCTTATTCTACGGCTTGAACTAGTAACTTTTCACAACTATTCTAAGAACTATGAGTAGTGGTATTATATAGCAGATACAACAACTTTCAAAGCATAGCTAAAGTTATGATTGCAAGACTAAGTTAAACATGTACATAACCATTATGTAATTGCAAATAGCTTTAATCATGGCTCAAACAGACTAAAAGTTCAATACCACACACCCCCAAACCTAAACAAAGCATTGTCCTCAATGATTACAAAATGAATGAAATGAAAGCAATGCAAAGTATGGCAAAGAATGGCATAGTATAAATACTAACAGAAAACAAAAACAAAATAAAGGATAGAAAAAACCTGGTTAGGTTGCCTCCCAACAAGCGCTTTATTTTATGTCTAGGTAAGACATGATGTGAAGGTTAAGTGGCTAATGGTGGTGGTGGATGGAGAGTCTCAGCAACCTCAGGAATTGGTTGATAAGCATCATAGTATGGCTTAAGACGATGGCCATTCACTTTGAAAGTGTTCCCTGTCTGGATGTTTTGAATGTCCACTGCACCATGAGGATAAACATTAGTGACAAGAAACATACCATACCAACGGGAACGAAGCTTACCAAGGAAGAGCCTAAGGCGTGAATTGAATAAAAGAACTTTCTGCCCAATCTCAAACAACTTCCTAGGGATTGCATTGTCATGATATGCTCTGGTCATTTCGTTGTAAATTCGAGAGCTCTCATATGCATCATTCCTTAACTCATCAAACTCACTGAGTTGAAACCTCCTCAAATGGATTGCTTCCTTTAGATCCAAATTGAGCTTTTTTATTGCCCAATAAGCTCTATGTTCTAGCTCCACAGGAAGATGGCAAGGCTTTTCATAGACAAGTCGGAAGGGTGACATGCCTATGGGAGTCTTATATGCTATTCTATAAGCCCATAATGCATCATGTAAGCGCAACGACCAATCTTTTTTAGTAGGGCCTACAGTCTTCTCAAGGATTTGTTTGACTTTATAGCTTTTTAATAAAGCCTCAAATGATCGGTTGCAAAAGTCTGTACCTCCATCACTGATTATAGCTTTGGGAGTTCCAAATCTAGCAAATATGTATTCTTTAAGGAAACTGAGAACCATTTTAGAGTCATTAGTCCTAGTGGCGATTGCCTCAACCCACTTCAAATCGAGCAAAATATGCTCATCATGCATCGCTTCTATAGGCAAACGTGCCAAATGGGCATGTGAATGTGGTCTTTTCTTGGTCTTCAGAGGCTATCACGATTTGGTTATATCCCGAATAACCGTCCAAAAAGCAATAATGGCTATGACCTGCAAGACGTTCAAGCATTTGATCAATAAAAGGTAAAGGAAAATGATCCTTATGAGTTGTTGCATTGAGCTTGCGATAATCAATGCAAACAGTTTGGAGGGTGTGCACTCTTGTTGCTACCATGTCATCATGCTCATTTTTGACAACTGTGATGCTGGATATCTTAGAGACCACATGTATCGAACTTACCCATTTTGAGTCTGAAATTGGGTAAATAATTCCTACATCTAGCAGCTTCAAAATCTCCTTCTACACCACCTCTTGGATTTAGGCATCTTTGAGCTTTTCTAGTTGGCTTGGCTCCATCCTCCAAAAGAATCCGGTGCATGCACTTTATTAGGCTAATTCCCTTGATATTAGCTATTGTCCAACCAATAGCTTTCTTATTCTCTCTTAGAACTCTTACTAGCTTTATGCCTTAACATCACTTAAATGGGCATTGATAATGATAGGAAGAGTATTCTCATTACCAAGATAAGCATATTTAAGATGTTCAGGGATTGGTTTGAGTTTTAACGTTGGAGCTTGAATCACAGAGGGAATTGGCTTTTCTGTTGAGCTAGGAAGAGGCTCAATACATGGCTTCTCTCTAGTGGATCATCCCAACCTTGTGTTTCAATTGGTGCCTGTAATATTAAACTTAAATCAATAGAATTGCATTCATGAATGTCACTAGGGTACCTCATAGCTTCAAGGATTTGAAAAGTTCTTGTTTCTCCCAGAACAATCATGGTAAGCTTTCCGGAATGACAATCAATCATGGCATGAGCTGTGGCTAAAAATGGTCGACCAAAGATGAGAGGAAGATGATTTGGTAGAGGGCCCTCTTCCATTTCCAAAATTTGAAAATCTGCTGGTAGAACTAGGTCACCGATTTGGACAATCACATCTTCCACAATTCCTCGAGGATGAGTAAGAGAATGATCTGCTAGTTGAATCATCATATGAGTTGGCTTGAGATCACCTAATCGAAGTGCTTCATAAATAGAATAAGGCATTAAGTTAATTGAAGCACATAAATCACATAAACATTTATAAAACCTCATTGGACCAATTTGGCATAGAATGGTAAAGCTTTTAGGATCTTTCTCCTTTGGTGACAACTTTCTTTGCAAAACTAATGACACTTTCTCGCCAAATACCACCATAGCATTGAGTTCCACCATCCTTTTATTTGCGCACAATTCCTTTATGAACTTTGCATAACCTGGAATATGCTTTATTGCCTTGAAAAAAGGAATTGCAATTTCTAGATTCTTGATTGTCTATAGAAACTCTTTCTCGAGCTTCTCCTTTGAATTGAAAACCCTGCAGGGGTAAGGCATAGGTGGAGTATATCCTTCCACCTTAGTGTTAGAATTCAATTCACTAGGCTTAGATTTTACCTTAGGAACATTCAACTTGGCTGGAATGGTGCTTTCGTCATTAGGAGTTGATTTGGACTCCTTGTGATGTTGCTGGTAGTCTTCTTCTTCCTCTTGTTGGATAGCCACAAGTTCATGATGTGATATATAATAGCACTTAAATTAAACCCTCTTTTTGACAATTGTAGTATATGAATAAGTAGGGATCGTTCTAGGCCAGGGATTATGAGGGATTGCTAATCTACTCAAATTAAACTCAATTACACTAAAATAGACTCAAAAACAAAAAGCTAGACTCTAAAGACTCAAAACAAACTAGAATGACTCAAAACAACACTAAACAAACAAATAGACTCAAACTAGACACTAAAGGGTGATTTGGACGAATTCTAACTTTAACTTGACTTCAAACACTTAAAAACACAAATTGGACAGATTCTAGCTAATTTGACACAACAAAGTAAAGGGGATTGGGTTTTTGACGAATTTAAAGTTTAAACAAACATATTTGAATAACAAACTAAAGGAATACGAATTTGGTGAATTAATGGGTGATAGGCTAGCTAGAGGATCCTTCTCCACACATGACACACTTGCATACAAATCGATTTCTAGTTGCTTTTCCAATAAACCATGAACCTCAATGCCCCAGATTAACTGTGACTTCACTAATTATCCCTCAGATTTTCCTTAAGTCATTGAATTGGACAGACAACACATCGGCAACCAAATTATTCTTCAATAGTTCCCTACATGAACATCATAATAGAGATACAATCAAAGATCATTAAGCTTTGTGAAAATCATAAACATTGAGAAGGCATTCGTAACTATGACATCATGATACTCATGCCAGGAATTTAACTTAACATGATCGTGACCAGTGACCTCCACTACTTGTGAATATAAGTTCATAACAATTATGTGAAACTCCCTTATATTCTAGCGTCAAATTCATGCATGCAAACTAAGTATGCATCCTTAATCAACATACAATAATAAGTTCTGAATCAAACAGTTAAGTAAATTGCATTCACGATTTATGAAATCACAACTGGAAGTAATCAATTCATATTGCAAATATAATCATGGTTTCAAAGTCTCCTCTAGCTAAAACAAAATTAGTTCATCATATTCCCAGCAAAACAAAGAAAACTTAAATTAAATATTAAAAACAAAAGATGGATTACACCTAAGAACGTCTAACAATCCAACTTGAATGGCCAAAACTTCCAAGGCTGCTCCTCTTCTCTTTCTTCCTTGCTAGGCTGCAGCACAAGGATGTTTGGATATGAATTATGGTGATGGATGGATAGGTTGGATGGTGATAAGAGATGGATGATTTCTGGTGTGTCTTAGGGTGTAGCAAGGCTCTTTATTTATATGGGAAGGAAGGGGCATGGCTGAGAATTAAATTGGGAAAGGTTTAAGACTCCAAATCCTCCAAGAAAAGGGTAACAAATCAAAATCCTAAGAGGAAAAGGGTAAGTGATATGCGGCAGATCCAGGAAAGAAAAGGAAAGAGGTTTGCACGGCAAGGATTTGGTTTTCTAGAAGGAAAATGTGCGGCTCTTTTTAGGAATGGGATTAGGACTTCTAGAACCTATATTTAAGTGTCCTAAATTAATTAGGAACCCCCCAACAATTGGAATTTAAGTAAGAAAAGATTAGGATTGACTAAGTCAAAATAAGGAAGTTTGACTCATGTTTCCTTCTTTGTAGCTGATTCCTTTTCTTCCAAGTCTTGAATTAATTTCTTCCATCTCTTTAGCAGATTCGTAGCCTTTCTTGAACTTCAATTTCGTCCATCCACCTTTCTCCATGCATGTGCTATCCATTCCAAGCCCAAAACTACTCCAAAATGCTCCAAATTGCACTTTCTTGCCACTTTAGTTAATTGGACCTACAAACACACGAAAATAGCTTAAATCACTATAATAAATAGAAACTAACTAAGTAAATGCAAGGAAATAGGCTAACAAAGTTGCATAAATATGCTCCTATCAATTCATTAATTTGTTAAGGCTCCTTGGTGCTTTTAAGCTCCTTTACACTCCTCAAAGTGAGCACATTCACCTGTGCATTGTTCAAATCTTTTGGATTTACAACAACTTGACTAGGAAGCTTACCTGGTTCTCTTTTGGTTAATGACTGTCGCAATCTATCCAACCTAAGTTTCTAAGTTTGCAATTGAACAATTAGTCTTGTTCATGAAAGCTTAGGTAGAAACCTTGAAGTCTTGAGTGCTTTGAGCTAAAGAACTTACTTGTTCAGCCAATGTATTTATATGTCTTCAAGAGGCTTGCTTGGCGTAGATTGGGGAGGTGGCAGATTTTGCACATTGTTGTTGTTTCCCCATCTGAAATTAGGATGATTCTTCCATCTTGGGTTGTAAGTTGGAGCAAACGGATCATTCCTAGGTCTCTGATTTCCTTGAAATCCTCCTACCATGTTTGCTTCTTCATGAAACCCTTGCACTTGATGACATGCCTCAGATGAATGTCCCTCATAAACCTTATTGGTTTGTCGATTTCTGAAACTAAATTGCTTCATATTTGAAGCAATGTCCTCAAACATGGTCTTTCCTTGATCAGCCATCTTGTTCATCAAACCACCAGCAGTAGCATCCACCATCATACGATCAGAATCAAGCAATCCTTCATAGAAATACTGCATGAGCAACCGTTGTTCCAAGTTGTGATGAGGGCAAAAATGCAATAGAGTTTTGAAACGGTCCCAATACTCATGGAACAACTCTCCATGATTTTGCACAATTGACATGATTTCACACCTAAGCTTATTAGTGCATTGGGTTGGGAAAAGTTGTTTCAATAGATCTGGATAGAAGAGTGTGAAGCCATGCCTTACCCTTTTCCCTTAGTGAAAAAGGGAAAGAGCCTAAGACGTATCTCTTGAGGGGTTATGCCTTGGATCTTAATGGTATTGCACACCTCTACAAACTCCTTGATATGCAAATGGGGATCCTCACCTGCCAAACCATTAAATTTAGGTAAAAGATAAATCATACCTGATTTGAGTTCAAAGTTCTCCATGGTGGTGTCGGGATAATGAATGTATGAAGACTCCTCACTGATCTTGGGAATCGCATACTCCTTCAAAGCACGATTCGCCTCGTCATCATTATTATTGTTGTTGTTGTTGTTGTTGTTTGCCATGGCTATCTCGTCTTCTTCTAATTCAGCCTTGGGTGAGGATGAGGCTGACTTAGGTGTATGTGATTCTGAGTGGCAAGGAGAGCTTGGCAAAGATTGAGTTTTGAGAATCCTCACAGGTCTGAGTGTACGCCTCTTACCCAAACTTGACTAAACCATCATTTGTAGCCGCTCTAAGTCAATGGGTTGCTTGAATGGATTAAAAGACATATAACTAAAAACAAAATAAATTAAGTCAGTAAGAAAAACTAAAAGGAATTACAAAGTTATTTAAGCGCAATCCCCCGCAACGGCACCAGAAACTTGTTGGATAAATTAGACAACTTAACTAGGATCTTCAAT